GGATTAAAAAAATAAAGTAAAAGAAAAAGGGCTCTGTGTATCCTAATAATCTCAAATCATAACCTCCCTGGACTACGTGCACATTGACAGTTTTCCCTGCTCTTGGGAGTGAAGAAGATGCTGGTGCCCTGGCCAGTTTGGTTCAGTGGTTAGAGCGTTGGCCCGCAGACCAGAGTCCCGGGTTCGGTTCCCACTTAGGGCATGTACTTTGGTTGCAGTTTGTCCCCAGCCCCAGTTGGGGTTGTGTGGGTGGCAACCACTCAATGTGTCTCTCTCACATCGATGTTTCCCTCTCTCTCTCCCTCCCTCTCTCCCTCCTGCTCTATCTGAAGATGAATGCAAGTGTCCTCGGGTGAGGATAAAAAAAAAAAAAAAAGATGCTGGACGCACTGCACACAGTACCTGTGGAATACAGTTACATTTAGAGCAAACCAAGCCTTGCTCCCTGCAAATTTAGGAAAATGCTGACTGCTCAGAAGCAGGATATTTATTGGCATTATCATAAGTGTTCTTGAAAACTATTTAAATCTGATTTTTCATGTAAAAATAATATTACGGTGGTATAGCTAGTCCAGATGCAGTGTTTATTGTGGGAGTACATCGGATTGGGAGGAAAGGGGCCTGGGCTCTGGGGATACATGACTGTGGGGAAATAACGTATGCTGGTTGGGCCCCGTTTTCTCACCTGTAAACTGAACTACTGCACAAAATCGGGCTTTGGAAAGCAGAAATGTCCCCATTACTTCACGAGATAGCTTGGGAGGTGCCACCTCAATCCTTTCCTGAAGCTTAATGGACCCACCAGCCTCTCTTCCTGTGAGTGGCTGTCACTGATACGTTCCAGTCTCTTTCAAGGACCCTAAGACTTCTGTTCAAAGAAAAGCCATTTCTGGAAAAGGCTGGTCACTTTCAGACCAACCAAGGACCTCAACATCAAATACCATTACAAAGCAAGGCAGATCACGAAATGTGTGACCAAATGAGGCCAGCCCTGATCAATAGAAAGTGGTGAGTTTTGTGGCAAACTGAATAGCATGAGCCTCCATCCTAAAGACATCTGGAGGGAAACCTTTTAAGTTTAGGTGATGGCTAACCAGTTCATGTAATTCGAGTGAACTGAGCCCATTACCAAACTAGTTGGCAATCTCGGGACTGAGTGTTCTCTGAGGTCCCCGGCAATTGTGAAATTCTCTGGTCCAAATTAAGACGGATGCTGAGAAAGCGTGGCTCCAGACTTACAGAGTCAGCCTCAACTCCGCACGTGGCCAGTGCTGAAGCTCCTGCTAGGGAGGCCTGGCAGTGCTTCCAGAGGTTTTAAGAAATCGGTTGGCTACTGCACTCTTATTTCCTGCGATCATAACCGATGACTAGACTTCTGCCCATCTTTTGATTTTCATAGCATCTCCTCTGCCTGCTGAACTCTAGTGGGAAAAACAAGTGGCCGAATGTGCAGAGGACGAGGGCGTGGAGCCTGAGTGCAGTCACCCTCAGTTCAAGCGGGCTTGGCCCCTGCTGGCCACGACAGCCACGGGCCAGTGTTCTTGTACTGCCTCACAGGGCTGCCTCGGCATCAGAATGACCCAGTGCATGTGAAGTGTGGCTCCTTGTAAGTGCACAGTAAATGCAGGGGCGGGCAAAAGTGTGTTAACAGTTGTTTGTATGGAAAATAATACAATAATTAACAAATAGTAATACAAGAATAAACTGTTTTGTGCACTCACAACTGTCAGCTACTTTTGCCACACCCTATATAAACAGGACCCAGACCCTCCACACACCTTCGCGACAAGCAGGCCCAGGTGGCCTGACTGCCCCTCCCACCTGGAAACACGGAGGAGTGTGAAGTACTCAGTTTCAAGCTACAACACTGTGCCCTGCCTCTATCTGAATGGCTGCATTGCTGGGGTCAAGATTCAGGAGCATATTTCTACTTTGGTGAAGAGACATCATGTAATTATCTGGCTACCCCAAAGAACACGTATATAAGGCTGAGGTCGCTGCCACGCAGAAAAAGAACTGCAGGGAAAAATGCTTTTCTTCCAAGTTTGGTGTTAGTGGTAACACACACACACACACACACACACACACACACCAAAACAAAACATTGAAGAACCTAGGAGAGTTCCATTTTCAGTGAGTGGAACTGACTTAATGAAGATAAAATGTACTTCAGACAAAATATGAGTTTAGCCCGACTATTGATTTCACTTGCTCTTGCAGACCTGAGCCTATGATTTGAAGTCATAAATGGAGGTGAGCTGGGTTTATTATTGTCACCTGAGCATTATGGACCTAAAGGAGGTACAGTCTGCTCTCTGAAGGGCATTCACAGAATTTTGAGATAAATCCAATTAGTTAACTAGGGCAATAGATATACATTTAACAGAAAGTGGTAAGTTTATGGAGATAATGTTTTTCTAGTACCATGTGGAAGGAAGTACACTCCGGGATGCCTACCAGGGCCGATGCAGGGTATGCCATAAAAAATGCTCTTCTGGCTGCCCACGGAGGAGCTGAAGCCGACGCACACTTGCCTTTGGTCGTAACAAATGCTATGTTCTAAAGCTGAAGAGTTACGACTGGACATTCACCTCAAGGATTATTTCTGTGACTTGGATAAATCTCTCAAGACTTCTGTTTTGACTCTGGGCCTCTTTAAGAAGTACGTCCTCTGGAGAGTGAGTTTTCTCATCTGCATTTTGAAGACATTTTATTTTCTACATTGTGCTCTTAACTAAAGAAGTTCGAGTCATTTCTGTGGCAATTTTATAGTCCCAATAAAAACCGGGAGGCACGTGTTTCTGCAGAACATGATTCTTTTGGAATCTCAGGGAGCCCTGGCTCTCCTCCTGCCTGATCCTGTCCCTGAGGTACATGCTGTCTCACAGCAACACGTCCTCCTGTGTCTTACTGTTAGCTGGGCTGAGGCAGATCGATCTGTTTACTAGTTATTACTGGGATTTGTGTAGCTATTTTTTGTGGCTGACCTGAAAAGTCCCATCTCCCTTTATATTGTACCAGACGGTTTCCTTGTCCCTGCCCTGGGGCACCATTAGAAAAGACAGGTGTGAGAAGTCTTTCAAAACGTACACAGAGAGCTGCAATGGTGTTCCCATCAGTCCTCAGGTTTGTAATTAAATGAGCATAGTTTCCACCAGGAGGGAAGCCACTGAGAAATTAAAGCCTTTGAAAAGGGAAAGGCATTCACATACGTTGTTACAGAATGTGTAAATTGTTCTTCAACATCTGTTTATCCTCTTCTTCCACAATAATATGTCAGTGAATTTTCAGTTGGGCACACACCCAGAATAAAGGCTTCATTACCAGCTTTTATCTGTGGCTCTGTGACTAAGGCCTGTTCAAGGAGATGTAAGCAGGGAGATATAAAGGCCTTTGCAAGTCTCTCTTAAGAGCTGGTGTGTGTGCCCTTTACTCTTCTCATTTTCTTCAGCTTTTCTTTCTTCCTGATGGCTGGATTGTAGATGTGATGATTGGAGCTCTAGCAGCCATTCTGGACCATGAAATTACCTTGAAATGGAGGCCATATCTCACTGAATAACAAGGTAGAAGCCAGGGATACAGGGACCCCATGGATTTTATGGAGCAGTATCACCACAGCTGCCCTGTACTGCCTACCTGTGAATTTAGATGTGTGAAGGAAATAACATTTTAGCTTATTTAAGCCACTATTATTTTGGATCTCTGTTCCTCAAAATGGAAACTTATTCTAACTTTACAAAAGCATACTCACCTCTCATGACATTATGTGAAAACCTGAAGCAGTTAAAATCATTTATAGCAGGAAGCATGATATTCTCACAGAAGTAGTTGGGGGAGAAAGTCTAACAAAAAATATTATCAGCATGCCTCTAGAGTGTAAATTTAAAATAATATTTATTTAAGTATATCTGTGGGAAGTAGTCAACCCCCCCAAAATTGTTTTCAACTCAAAAACCAAATGTCATCAATTATTCTGCTCTCAGCCACATCCTGCTGAGTAGGGCACAAGGTCTAAGGTTTCCTTTTATAGAGGAAGAGCCCATTCCACAGAGAGGTAATAATAAAATGTGAAGGGCCTAGCCACTGAGAAACATTATCAGAAAGAGATGGGAAAAGATCAATAAAATTCACCACCCAAATTGGGGAAATTTCCTATATTTACCAACTCTGACCCGATAACATGATATTGTATTGTCCGAAGGCAGAATTGAGAGAGAACAAAGATGTAGGTATAGAAATTTCGTGCTCAGAAATTACCGTTTGTTCTTCCCCTAACTTGACAGAGGGTTCATTGACAATGTAACTGTATATATATTTAAAGTGTATAATGTGATAATTTGACATACATTGCATTGTGAAATATTTACCAATATCAAGATAATTAACACATCCGTCACCTCACACAGTTAACTATGTGTGTGTGGTGAGAAGAAGATCTGCCAGCAACTTTCAAGTATACAATAATACCACCATTTATTTTGTATTTCCACCTCAAGGAACTGCTCGATGTGCCTCCTTTCAGAGAAGGACCACAGCTATTCTGGGAGGTGGGCATTGTTATCCCCATTTTACAGAAGAGGAACTAAGGCCCAGAGAAACTAAATAACTTCCACAACCACAAAGATCTCTTGCTACATGTTTGGCTTCTGTTAACGTTGTCTGTAAGAGGCTATTCATTTTATAGGAATTGGAAGAATCCACCAACCTATTCAATGTTAGCATTTGCTAAGTAAAAATGATAGGTTTGCTACTCATCTGGGTACATGGAAATCTTTCATCATCAAAAGGCTTTCTATTACTTTACTAAGAGTTTGAATTTTATGATTCCATTGGTCATTGATGTTACTTCACACACCGTCCTAAAACACACACAATTTTAACCTAAGTGAGTAAATAGAAAAGTACTGCATCTATCAATCACAATTTTCTAGTTTGACAATACGAGTTCCCATCTATTCACATAGGTACTTTGAAAATAATAAAGCCAGAAAGTGACCTACCTTTTGAGTGAGTAGAGCTTGAACAACTTGGTTGGCTACCTTTAGAAAATAAAAAAAAAGACTTGTCAGTATAATTATGAGACTTTACACTCGTGGACTCCAATTTACCCATAAGTTTCCCACAGCTTGCTGTAGCTAATTAGCTCTTCATTTGCCTCTGTCCTCTACGTCTAGGGGACCTGACTCTTTTCATAATAAGCCTATCCTTCTAGGTAATATTTTGTTTTTTTCCAACGGTGACCTTGTTGCTAATTAAGACAGTTATTCTGGAAAGAGCATTCATACCTGGCTTTTACATTTCCATATTTGAAAAAATAATAGCCTTTCATATGTAAAGTACTCCAAGAAGGCTAAAAAATGATATAATGCAAAACATGATCCTAATTATCTGTACACAGTTTCTACACTTTGCTGATTTACAATGACCTTTGCCTCTCCTTTCTACTTTTTTGCTGTGGGACCATTTCACTGCATAAAATGACTTACAGTAGAGACAGGCTGAATGGTGGAGGACAGGGACAATTAACTGGTTCTTCTATGCCGTACCACCCCCCACCAGCCCCTTGCCATGTCTCATTTATGCCATTCTTTTGTCGCTTCTACTTGTAATAGTCAACTGGTAGTTGTTTAGTCCAATATCATTTTCCCCTTCCTCCCAACTAACAAACCCTCGCTTTGTTTTTGTTGTTGTTGTTGTTGTTGTTGTTACATGCCCCTAGCAGGAACCAAACCCGGGAATCTCTGATCCACAGGCCGATGCTCCAACCACTGAGCCAAACCGGCCAGGGCTACAAACCCTAACTTTTTGACTAGGCACATCAAACTACCCTGCTCCCTTTGAAACTGTCACTGTGTGACACTGTTCAGACCCATGAGTTATAAAAAGACTATTTCTTGGGCTTATAGAAAGTATCCAAGGAAAGGGGGCTCATTCCTCTTCCTTTTTCCTGTCTGGGATATGAAAGTGATGGCTGGAGCTTCAGCAGCCACCTTGACAATGGAAGTTACATAATAAATATAATGGGGCAGAAAAATGAAATGTTTTGATGAGCATGGAGCTGCACTGTCTATCTCTGAACTTCTGTGTGAGAGGAAAATAAAATATCCACTTATTTTGAGTTATTTACAACATAAAAGCAAATGTAATTCTTATTAATATATTAACAGAACTCTAATTTTCTTCAGGTATCAGGCAGCTTGGGACAGTGAGAAATACTGAGCCCCTCTCAGCCCAAGAAGGTAACTCCTGATTAATCCAAGCCAATATCTTGGTAATTCCATTCCCTTATAATGACTGGCTTAAAAGTGACCATGTGACTCAATTCTAGCAGAGGGTCACATGTAAAACTACTAACATGTTCCTGGTATTTCAAGAATCTGGCATTTTCTCTAGATAACCACTCACAATTTCCATACCCATTTGTGCTAAGATTTCCTTTCACCTGCACATTTCAGAAACACTTCACACACACACAAAATCACTTACTGAACTTCACCATAACCTTGAAGCTGTGTCCGCAACATGGCTACTATTGATGAAATTAAGGTGGACAGGAAAATTATGTGATATTTTCCAGCCACTACAAAAACATTTAGTATATTAACTGAAACTGACAACATTAAAAATCAAGTCAAAATATTAAACTATCCTAGGTGTAAGTTACTTCTGTTCATCATTTAATCTCTCACTTGTTCAATATAAATTTTTAGAGTATTTGCAAAACTAGATGACTGTTCCTTGGTGTCAGAGGGCACATAGCAGGTTGGAAGTCACAAGAACACAATTACAACACAGTACGATGAGCATGTAATAATTTTGGTAATTCTCACATTCAACCAAAGGCGGAGGGATCCACTTTCATCTTTTTCTCTTGAAAACAAAATTATTTTGCGTGATGCTAAACTATGTGTGCTTGTATTCCTGTCTAGGATAGTGGAACAGATTGTGCTAAGAATGTTTTGGAGCTTAATTGTTTCTTGACTCAGATACTTAACAACAGCCTGTTGGCAGAGAGTCTCATAGAATACTGACGCGCAGGCTGCTGCCAGCCTGTGGCGGGAGGCATTCACATCACGGCGGTCCAGGACGAGAAGCAGATTACATGTGATTGATGAGCTAAATTGTGTGCAGGAGAAAGTTTTTTTTCTATCAGAATCCTTTCCGAATTTGTAGTTTTGACATTAAGCAGAAAGAGAGAGAGAGAGAGAGAGAGAGAGAAAGAGAGAGAGAAAGACTGACTTTTATTGAAACTATAGTTTTGAAGAAAAAAGTAAAAGTATTTTGCGTTGTTTTTTTTTTTTTTTAGTCCAGACCAAATTAAAGAAGCATACCCAAGAACTATGATAGATCAAAAGACCATCCTTTCCTTAACTGGTACCTTTTCTTTCTCCTTTATCATTTCATTTAATATGATCATAGATCACAACAGTGACAAATGCTATGCAGCCCACACAAATTTACCAATAGCACAATCTTGAAAATCTTTCCGTTTTTAAACATTCATTCCAACTTGTAAATAACTGAGAATTTAAAGTCAAACACTGTATCATCTAATTTATTTTTGGCAAAGAAAAAAACAACAACAGAAGAATTGAACTGGTCATGCATCTTGAATCAGGAACAGTGGACCAAAGTTAATTCAGAACATCAATAATTTAATTCTTTTGGATCTCAAACTTTGGATTTGATTTACATTCTCATAAAACTGCCCAATATCAGTATTTTCTTTTCTTTCATCAAATTGGTCCCTCACTTAAAGCAGGCTATGGAACAGCAGTCACATAAAATAGCTCTCCACATGATTTAGCAGGAGACATAAATGAATATCCTGACTGTAACAGCCGCGGGAGTAAGTCCATTGTCTCTGCAATCAAGTATGTTGCCCCATAGGCTTAACAAAATCTATCGCTGACACAGTTCCCTCTGGCATGTACTTTGGACAATTGTTTGCTCTACCTGAAAATTGAACAAAGATACACAAATGCATTATTATTATGATTTTTTAACCAACTGACATGAGGTTTTATTACCCAGAAGGACTGATGGGTTCTTTGCAGGAGAGCAGGCAGGTTGTACAAGTGCTTTCTGGGTATTGCTGAAATACCTAAGGACAGTGCCTGGGGTTCATTACCACTGTTAGTTACTAAGCTTCCCTGATGCATCAACAAAACAGTTGTTTTGAGCCAGGGACCTCTAATAGGTCACAAGATGTTCCCTAGAATGGACTCCTGTCCTCACCATAGCATTATACCTTTAGTGCTTAGATTGCAAATAATCACATAGCCACAGGCCCAGCTAATGAGAACAAATAACTTTCAGTGTCACCTGACAGCTTTCTTCTGCAAAGGAAGGAAAAATAGCTGCTAAACTGGGCCAGAGGCAATTGAGACACACTGAGCAAAGCTGACAGTCCCAAAGCCTCTGGCTTATGTTACAACCTCTCGTAGGCTCTCCGTGGAGACCACCTGGCTGGGCTCTAGCAGTCAAGCAGGGCTTTAGGTGAGACAGAGATGCCAAGGAGAGGCCCCAGGTACATCTTGCCTTTCCTCTCAGTAAGAGTTCTCGGACCCATGGCTGGTAAGAATATACACGCATCTTTGCTCTTCTCCCTGTCAGTCTCCCAGTGGTCATGATTCCTCTGAGCATTTGCCTGGAAGGGGCGGCAGAGGGAGGAGGAGACAGGGCTATGGAGTTGTCAGTTATTTCATTGCAAATCCCCAGTGGGGGACACGCAGGAGGCGGCCAGTCGATATTCTCTCTCATCGATGTTTCTCTCTCTCTCCTTCCCTCTCTCTTTAAAATCAATAAAGAAATTGGTGGAAGATGGCGGCAGTCAGGACCAGAGGGAGAGTGAATGTGTGAGAGAGTGAGCGAGTGTGTGAGAGTGTGAGCGAGTGTGTGAGAGTGTGAGTGGACGTGAAGGTGGACCACCAAACCCGAGCAGTGCGGAAACACAGAGCAGAAAGTTCCTGTGCTGTGGACGGAGCAGCCGTCTACCACGGTAAGCGACCCTTCAGGGCGCCTCTCCCGGTGCCGCAGGGAGGTCCCACCATTTTGGAAGATCCTGGGTCTTCCCTGGGAGGAGGCAGTGGGAGCAGCTAGGGCCCAGCAACCTGAGCCCACCAGCACACCTGGCACCATCGGACCAGGGGACACTCTGTGTCAACACTGACCGGTGCACAGTAGTGGAGCTCCCAAGGTGCTGGTCACGGAAGCCGCAGAGAGCCAGGAGCCCAGCACCATCCTCCAGAGTAGCAGCCTGATCAGAGTCCAAATATACCCCCAGCAACAGAGGCTGGGGAGCAGACTTCCATCCCCAGGCAACAGAAGCACAGACCAGCAACTGAGACACATCCCCAAAAAGTACAGCAAAAGCTGAGCAGGAATTGAGACCCACGGGGCAGCAGCACTCCCCAGCCGCCAGCTGTGGGACCTGGGGCTCCACAGAGGCCTGAGCAGTCTAGCAGCTCACAAGAGCATTGGGAAGCTGGAGCTCTAGAGACTGGTGTGATCCAGCTGCCGGCCCGCCAGACCACCAAACCTGCAGACTGTGGGGGCACCAGAGAGGCCTGTGTGACCAAGCAGGGACTGTGCCATCTAGTTACCCAAGGGACCTGCAGGGTGCTAAAGCACCAGAGAGGCCTGTGCCACCCAGCAGGGACTGTGCCATGCAATTACCCAAGGGACGTGCAGGGTACTGAAGCACCTGAGAGGCCTGTGCAACCCAGCAGCCCATATTATAGGCATATAGCCCAGTCCCCAAAGGGACTGTGCCATCCAGTTACCCGTGGGACCTGCAAGATGCAGGGGCACCAAAGAGGCCAGAGCAACCCAGCTGCTCACAAGATAGGCATAGAGGATCTGAAAATAGAGGTGGAGTGAATAGAAACTACACAGATGATCTCCCCAGGACCAAACGGGAATTACAACTAAAATAAAGACAAATCCTTGGAGAAAAGCAACACAAAAGCAGCAGGACAGAAGCAGATAACCAGGGACACCAGTAGGATCTGCAAAGGTAAGAGAGGGTGGCAGGCTG